ATATATCATATAGTAATATGTATTACATACATTATATGTGTGAAGCCCTGGTTTCCATCCWCAGCACCACAAAGAAAAACATAAATACATAAATGAATAAATAAGTAAAATCAAATCCAGGTCTCTCACTTCCTGAGATTATCACACAGCTACTAAGGAACCAATTGCACCCCAAGTTGTTTCTGTGAGGACTTCCCTCACTCCTATCACTCTGGACAAAGGAGGTCTAGACAACCCGCTCTTTCTCTGAGAAGGGAATTTCACAACAAATCAGGACAGAGTCCTTCTGGGGGTGTAGTTCAGTGGTAGAATGTGTATTAGCATGCTCAAGCCCCTAGGCTCAATCCCAGGGCCTGGTATTAAACTTCTAATACTTTCAGGCTTTTCTGAGACCTTCTCTTTGGCTTTCAATAACCTCCAGCTGGTGGCCCAGTAGCTGCTTCCAGGGTTCACCCTCCTCCCCAGCGAGCCTCAGACTATTCCCCAAGCCTAAACTCTCTCTCTGAAACAAAAGATGTCACAATTCCTGTCATGTTTGCCTGGGGGTGTAGTTCAGTGGTAGAATGTGTGCTTGTTTGAGGCCCTGGGTTCAATCTCCAGCACCAAAAAATAAATAAATAAGTCACTCTCTTAATAAATAAATAAATAAGACTGGGGGGTAAAATCCAAACTCCACAGGTCTTCCATGGCCACTCTCCAGGCTTGCCAAACCCTGTGAGTTCCCCTAGAGCCTCTTTTCATTTCTAACCTTCTGGGCCTTCCTATATGCCGGCTGCTCCCTAAGACACCATGCCTAGCCAATGGCTGCTCTCCTTTGGGGACCCACACAAGCATCACCTCCTCTTCAAGTTCCTAGTGTTTCAGGAGCAATAAGGAAGCCAGAGTGGCTGGAGCAGAAGGAGGAGGGAAGGGAATGCGGTAGAACATGAGGTCAGAGTTCATCATTGCTTTACAGATGAGGCAGAAGTTTACTAACTTATCCAAGGGATTTTGCTGATGAGAGGCAGATATAGGATTGAGACTTTCTTCAGGAACCTATCATCTTTGGAAGATAATATTATCTTCCAAACTTGATTGACACATGGCCAAGCCACCTGATATTGCTCTTTACAATAACGAATATAGCCAGGCATGGTGGCACACGCCTGTGATCCTTTTGTATTATTTGTACTCACAATCCTTCTGACATAATATATGTGGGTTGTTTCTTCCCACCAACCAATTCTCCAACTTCCCAAACAACAACTTGGTGACCTACATTCAATTCAGTTCKGACACTACCTGGAGCTAGCACAGACCCCAGAGGTAAGGGCTCAGCCCCACAAGTCTTCCCTCCTCTTCTGACACCAGTCATCAAGACTAGGGCACACAAACTTCTGAAGGACTGGTTATAAAGTCCAAGGGTTTCCAACCCTTGAGCTACAGTAGCTCACAGAACTCAGATAAGTGCTTCACTACTATTACCAGTTTATGATAAAGGATAAAATTCAAGAACAGGCAAAGATACTCAGCAATAAACAAGAATAAAATCATGGCATTTGCAGGTAAATGGATGGAGCTGGAGAATATAATGCTAAGTGAAGTTAGCCAATCCCAAAAAACCAAATGCTGAATGTTTTCTCTGATATAAGGAGGCTGATTCAACATGGGGTTGGGGCAGTGGGGGTAAAGGCATGGGAAGATTAGACAAACTCAGATAGGGCAGAGAGGTGGGAGGGGAAGGGGGAAAGAAAAGACGGTGGAATGAGATGGACATCGTTACCCTCAGTACATGTATGAAGACACGAATGGTGTAAATATACTTTGTATAAAACCAGAGATGAAAAATTGTGCTCTATAGGTGTAGTATGAATTGTAATGCATTCTGCTGTCATATATAACAAATTAGAATAAAAGATTAAAAAAAAAAAAAGAAGAGGCAAAGAGAGAAATGCAGAGGGCAAGAGATGGGGGATGGTGCACAGAGCTTCTGATCTCTCTCCAGGCACGCCACTCTCACAGAATCTCAATGTGTTTACCATCTGGAAGCTCTGAAACCATCGTTTAGGATTTTCATGGAGGTTCCATTCTGTAGGCATGATTGATTAAAGCATGGSGCCACTGATGATTAGCTCATCTCCAGTCCCTGTCACCTCCCCAGAGGTTGAGGGTGGTGCAGAAAGTTCTTACTCCCTAATCACATGATTGGTTCCTCTGGCAATCAGTCTCCATCTGAAGCAGCTATCTAGGGGCCCATCAAGGGCCACCTCATTAGCAGAAACTCAGATATGTTGAAAAGACAAAAAAAAAGTTCCTATCACTATCACTCAGGAAATTCCTAGGGTTTCAGCTCTGTCAAGAACCTAGGACAAAGATCAAATACCATTTCTTATTTTCACACTCTTGCCTTAGGACTTGGATACTTTTTGGTTTCCCAGCACAGAACACTTCCCTGAAATCATTCAGGTCTCTGCTCAAACCTGACTTCCCCTGCAAAGCATTCTCTGGCCACGTACTTAAATAGAATCTTCCTCCCCACCTATGCCCTTTTTTTAAATATCCCTATCATGATTTATTTTCTTCCCAGCACTTAGCAGTACCTAAAATAACAATATTTGTTTACCCCCTTTCTTTTCTCCATSTCCTACTAGAATGTAAATTCCTTGAGGGAGGGGGTCTTGCTCTTACCTGGCTCCCCAGGGTCTAGTATCCCTGACACATTAAAAAAAAAAAAAAATGCTGGGACTATAGCTCAGTGGCAGAGCACTTGCCTAGTATGTGTGAGGCACCAGCTTCTATCCTGAGGGCCACATAAAAATGAAACAAATAAAATAAAGGCATGTTGTCCATAAAAAAAAATTCAGGGACTATATTCCCATTGAGGCAGGAGGATCCCTTGAGCCCAGGAGTTTGAGGGCAGTCTGGGTAACATAGTGAGTCCCTATTTCTTAAAAACAAATGATGAACAAATGATGATTTGTTAAACATATGATGATAACAGAAGGATGATACCTACCTTAGGGCTAGGAGTACAGCTTAGTTGTAGAGTGTATGCTTAGCATACTCCGGGCCCTGGGTTCAAGCCCCAGCACCAAAACAACAAAAACCCCACCTACATCAAAGGGTGTTGAAAAAGTACACACAGAGGGATATAAAGTGCTTAATATAATTCCTGCCACATAGTAAGCTCAATGACGTTGGCTAAGGCTATTATCAAAGGAATCCAGAAGAACATGAGGTTAATGTGGGCCAGAGCAGTTACAGAAGGTATCAAGAAGGGGCCAGATCATGTGCTTGATCTGGAAGAATGAGGTTTTTTTTTTTTTTTTCCTCTCTCTAAGTTGGGACACTGTAGAAATTGTTAAGTCTCCTCTGCAGAAGTCATCCCTCCCCAATGTAGGCTGTCTTCACATTCCAGATCAAATGCAGTCTCCAGGGACTGGGAGTGTAGCTTAGTGATAAAGTATTTGTACAGCCTGTGTGAAGCACTGGGTTTGATTCTCAGCACCACATAAAAAAATAAAAATAAGCCAGGCACTGTGGTGCACACCTGTAATCCCAGTGGCTTGGGAGACTGAGGCAGGAGTATCGTGAGCTCCAAGCATGGTATCAAGGTACTAAGCAACTCAGTGAGACYCTGTCTCTAAATATAGGGTTGGGGATGTGGCTCAGTGGTTGAGAGCCCCTGAGTTCAATTCTAAGGACCAAAAAAAAAAAAAAAAACCAAATTAATTAAATAAAGGTATTGTGTTCATCTACAACTAAAAATAAAAGTAAAAATAAAAGAAAGAAAACCTATAAAAAATGCAGTCTTCATACTGTAAAGAATCATCTACTGATTAGCATCTCTCTGGCTTGACCATCCATTAATCCACTTTTCTTTCTTTTCTACACCAGAGACTAGATAAATTTCACTTCTAATGGTCCCTCAATAATATTGTTAAATTGATTAATTTCAGAGACCTATAGAAAAGAAGCAACCCAGGGCTGGGGATGTGGCTCAACTGGTAGCATGCCCATCTAGTATGCATGAGGCACTGGGTTCGATTCTCAGCACCACATAAAAATGAAATAAAGATATTGTGTCCACCTAAAACTAAAAAAATAAATATTAAAAAAAAAGAAAAGAAGCAACCTACTCTTTGGTCCAGCAATCTAGGCTTTTGTGTCTATCCTAAAGAAATACTCAAGAGTCAGCATTAGTTCAAGTATAAAGATCATGTCCACTTGCACATGCGAATGTGTGTGTGTATGTTTGTGTGTGTGTGTGTGTGTGTGTGTGTGAGAGAGAGAGAGAGAGAGAAGCAGAGAGAGAGAGAGAGAGAGAAGCAACCAGAATGTCCACCTGTAAGAAGGCAACAAACAACGATTCATCTACCCTGTGCAGAGGCTAAATGAAGACAGACACTTTATAAAACAATCTCCAAAATATTGAAAAAAAAAGTTGGATAATACACAGCATTTGGTTTTCATTTAGGTAAAACAAAGTATTTTAAAATAACACACACAGAAACCTATAAGTTTCTCTGATCTGTGTATTTATGAATAGCACTGGAAAATAGATCTGATTTTTGTCCTGAATATTTGTGTACTACTTGCATTTTTAAAAGACCACACTGAACGCATTACTTACACAAACTAAAATGAATTCAAAATAGCTGTATTTAAAAAAAATCCCAGGACTTGAATATATACCATAAAGAGATTCAGGCATTGGTCTGTGACTAACTTCCCCAAGTAACTAATTTTGAACTATTAGGGCAAATCCACGCTCATTTTACTTCTCAGGCATCAGACCCCTTAACAGCATCGATTAACAGAAACGTGCTGGGTTTGCAACGTTCTCTAACACCTGTGGACAGCACGCCCTTTCTACACAGTGCTTTCCTCCCAAACCACGACCACGCTAGCGCTGGGCTCTGGAGAGCGCTTGCTCTTCCTGGGCACCTGGAGGACAGAGGCACTAGGAAGAAAGCTCTCCAGGTAGATGTGTGCACACGTTGTCGGAGAAAGAAACTTACTTTCCGACTAGCCTCTTCTCTGGCTGAAATCTGTCTCTCCTGCTCAGGCATCACCCCCGCAGACACCAATTTCTTCTCAGATCCGGCCCTGAGCCCAAAGGTCACCTGGTTAGGGAAGGGCGAGAAGAGCCTGTTAAAATCCAGGAGGAAGAGGAGTGGGTGTGAGGGCTTCAGTCCGGCTCGATTCTAAGGAAACCGTCTCTTCGCTTTGAATCAGGGGATCCGCAGCACCAAAACTGTAGGTTAAAATTGAGCGCCGCCGCGTCCCTAACTTGGGAGCGCAGGGATAAGAGCGCGTGGGGAGCGTGGGCCTCCGACCTTCACTCACACCCAAGCCCGCACCGCAGGGCGAAGACCTGTCCTGACTCCCTCCTAAACTACCTCSGACCGATGCACTCAGCACTAGGTCCTCAGATCTGCGCCTGTGCTGGAGATGAAGGGCTGGCGAGTGGTGCAGTCCCGGGCCGGAGATGCAGATGTCCCGGGTTCGCCCAAGGCCTGGGGGACGGTTCGTCCTGGCGGGGTGTCGGATCAGCTCCTCTCAGCCCCCTCTCCAACTCCGCGCCTGGCTCCCGGGCTCCGCGGATCTCAAATGCAGCAATCGCTACGGGAATGGACTCTGCACTCGGAAGATTGATCCGTGAGCTGCAAGGGCCTCCCATTTGGTCGCCAACCGGCCGCGGGTTTGGGACTGAGGGCAGGGGCGCCCCGGCAGGGGCTTCCAGTGGGGGAGGGGCCAAGGACCTGAGCGCCGGCTGTCCGTCAAAGGCCACGCCCCCACAGCCCACCTCCCACTACGGTGCCGCCCATGGGGGCCGGACCCGTTTGCGCCACGCCAAAATCTCGTTGACTCCTCGGCCATTCTATTGGCTAAAAGGCCGTGGGAAGCTGCTACCGGTAGCCAATTGTAATGCAGAATTGGCCCGCGAGGGCCAGGGGAGCGCCTCAAGCTTCCTCAGTAGCCAATAGGGAAGAGGAACGGCCAAGCGCTTCCTGAGTTCGGGGGTCGGCCGAAGATGGCGGCCTCCAAAGGGGGTTGGTGCTTTTGCGAGTTGTTGAGGTGAGGAGCTGGTGCTGTGGGCTCGAAGGGCTACTTGTCGGGTGGTGACACTTGGCTATCCAGTGCAGCTAACGTTTGCGGGAGAAGGGCCACCCTTGTCATGGATGTAGGCTAATTTCCTAGGATTTAGGGTATTTTCTCAGGCCAGTGAGCGGTTTTCCCCTCCCTGCGGGGTCTCTCAGGTTGGAGCAGACTGAGTCTAAAGACTCAGTTTACCGCAGTTTTTTCGCCTGTGTCCTTGTGGCTGAGGGGCGTTCCTTCCCTGTTTCAACTTTTTCTTTCTTTTCGCAATCCAATAACTCTGTCATGGTACTTACATGTGCATTACTAATTTTCCCTTATGATTGAGCCGAGAGTGATTTTCCAGTCTATCATGTTTCTCTCTTAGTTAAAGAAATCAATTTCCCTCCACTCCGTTTCTCTCTCTTTCTCTCTCTATCTCCCCCCAACTTTCGGTACTGAGAATTGAACCCAGGGACGCTTTGCCATCCATTGATTTAGTGTCTCTGTTGTAAAAATACTTATATGAAAATATTACCCTTATTGTAATACACATTATCGTTTCTTCCAAAGAAAAGTTAGGAAATAGAAAAGTAAAGGAATGCTACCATCTTGTGATAAACACTCTTAATATTTTGGTGAGAAAACACTTTTCTCCACCATTGTTATAATATTGTGATATAGTAAATGCCTTACTCTGCACTGATTAAACTGAAGACCTACTGTACGCTACTACCTAGTCAGGTTGAAAATTTATAATTAACACAATATATACCCGAATAGCAGTATGTGCATATTCTCAACAAAACTCTGGTATTTCTTTTTCATTTTTGTCCTACTTCAAGTTCTATAATTATTTAAAACATTCTGAATGGGAAAGTATATTCTCAGAATTTTCATGTTACCTACCTGCCTTATAAATGTCTGCTAAATGAGTGACTCACTATTGATTACAGCCACCTTTTTTTAAGCCTTTTGTCTAAATATGAGCAAACATTATTTAGTACTACATATTTTAATTATATGTAAATCCTAAAATGAATAATTCTAATGTGCGAGTACTGTATGGTGTTTAATAAATTTATTTATAGAAACTGTAAGTGTATCTTTGAAACTAACATACTCAAAGGACTGGCTTAATTTTAATTATTAGTATGATTCTGAATCTGATTTAAGTTAAATGGTTCAATTTGAAAGGCCTATATGTAAAACTGAACCATTTGAAGGAATTGTCATTAAAAAAAAAATCTTTAGATTCTCTGAGTCATTTACATTATAAGTAAAACAGGCTTTTGAAAGCTCTTCTTAGGGAAGCAGACTGTCCTATATAGAGTTGCTTTTGTGAACTCATACATTCCAACTCATATATTCTTAAAGTGGCAAGTAAGATTTGTCATTATTTAACATTTAATCATTTAAGGTTGTAGTTCAAAGTGTGGTTCATAGATCCATACAGATTCAAGATTCTTTCAGTAAGTCTTCAAGGTCAAAATTGTTTTTGTAATAATGTTAAAATAGCAATTGTTTTTTTCAGTATGTTGACATATATACTGATGGTACAAAAGTAACGGTGAGTAAAACTGCCCTAGTACAAATCAAGGCAGTGAATGCCAAACTGTAGTAGTTAGTCCTTGTGTTTTTTAGCACTTGCAAAACCCAGTTTTAATTAGGAATATCAGTGATGAACTGAGAGCCATGGCACATGCCTATAATCCCAGGAACTCAAGAGGCTGAAGCAGGAGGATTACAGGTTTGAGGCCAGCAATTTGGTAAGGCCTTAAGCAATTTAGCAAGACCCTGTCTCAAAATAAAAAGTTAGAAAAAAGTCTGGGATCCAACTCTGTGGAAAAGTGCCCCTGTGGAAAAGTACTAGTACCAAAGAAAAAGAAAAAMAAATCTTTGATTAAATAGTAAAAGTTATGAATTTTGTTAAATGATAACCCTTGAATACATATATCTTTAATATTGTATATAACAAAATGGGGGTGGGGGGGGACACATAAAGCACCTCTGTACTGCTATATGGTGGCTGTCTCAAGGAAAATCAGTTTGTTACCTAATCATCTAAGCTGCATGCTGAATTAGACACTTTATGGGAGACCATTTTTACTTGAAAGACGGACAGATAAACTACCAAGTCACAATGCTACAAAATGGAGAAGTAAAAGATCCACTGAATCCTGGGTTCATATAATCCTCCTATCAGCCTCTTGAGTAAGGTGGSACCCCAGATGCAGGCCTCTTTGCCTGCCTAGGATTTTCAAAAAACAAAAAAGTAGGAGGGGTGGGTCTTGGGTAGAATGTCTGAGATCCTAGGTTGAATCTCCAGCACCATAAAAGTATTTCAAGTATTTTGTTAGCAGGCTTGCAAACTACAAAAATTTTCTTTGCTACCAATACATAAAGTAAATATGTAAAAATTTTTTTTAAATATGGGCATCAGATGAATTTTCACCTTTTCCTTCTTATTTCAGGTTGTTTTATTCATTATTCTTCCCTGGGCTAATTGTATGTGGAGCTTTATGTATATGTTTGGTCATTGTCCTTTGGGGACTCAGATTACTGCTACAGAGAAAGAAAAAGTCAGTGTCAGCCAGCAAAAATGGGAAAAATCCAATAGTGATTGCATTTTTTCATCCATACTGCAATGCTGGTGGAGGAGGGGAAAGAGTTCTATGGTGTGCCTTGAGAACCCTGCAGAAAAAGTAAGTATTCATCATGTTTAGCAAATTTTCTATATTGTTGCCACTTCTAGAAAAAAATATTACTCAGAAATTCCTTTCTCTTGTACCTTATTCACAGCCAGGAATTTCTTTTTTAAACTGTTCTTTAATAAGAGAATTTTTCCTCTCATTTGCTCACTTGCTTCATACAGTCCTGTTGAATTTTAAACCAGTGCCCCCAACATGCCTATGATAGAGGCTGAAGTGGGAAGATTGCTTGAGCCCAGAAGTTGGAGGCTGGCCTGGACAATGTAGACCTTGTCTCAAAAAAAATCTAAGCCAGGAACAATGGCATATGCCTGTAATCCCAGCAATTTGGGAGACTGAGGCAAAAGGATCACAAGTTTGAGACCCTAAGCAGTCTAGTGAGACCCTGTCTCAAAAAGGGCAGGAATGTAGCTCAGTGGTAAGGCACCCCTGAGTTCAATCCTTAGTACCCAAAAATGTACCTAGCTTTAAAAACATGTTTGCATTTCCCAGAAACACTTTGATCCTATATGAGGACATGTTTATTAAATTTTAATTTATGTTTATGAGTATTTTATTAATATTTCACTACTATTTTTATATTGAGAATGTTGTCAAAATGAGTTGTTGTATTTTATTTGCACTGTCAGGGACTGAACTCAAGGCATCACACATAATAGACAAGTACTCTACCTCTGAGCTATACCCTTACTCTGTTAAAATGTTTTAATATTTCCTTAAAAAATAGAAATTTCTCATTAAACCCTTAATAGAAGAAATATCAAAGAACTAGAAGACAGAGTGTCTTAGTCTAATTGGGCAGCTGCATGAAAATATTTTAGACTGAGTAATTTATAAAGAACAGAAATATATTGCTCACAGTTCTGGGAGCTGGGAAGTCCAGGATCAAAGCACCAATAGCTCTAGTGTCTATGGAGAGCTCACTCTGCCTCATAGATGGCTACTTCTTGCTGCATCCTCATGTGGAAAAATGGAAAATGGGTTCCTGTAGGCCTTCTTTAAAAAGGCCCTTGKGGGGCTGGAGTTGTGACTCAGGTGTAGAGTACTTGCCTAGCATGTGTGAGGGCCTGGGTTCAATTTTCAGCACTATATATACATAAATAAAATAAAGATCCATTTACAACTAAAAATTATTTAACAACAAAAAAAAAGGCACTTGAGGGTGGAGGTAAAGTGTGTGCTTAGCATGCACAAGACTCTGGGTTTAATACCCAGCACCAAATAAATGGAGAAATAAAGGCATTAATCTCATTATGAGGCCCCCTCCTTTTGGGGGAGGTAGCAGTACTGGGTATCAAACCCTGAACCTTGTACATGCCAGTACCAGAGAGAAAGAGAGAGAGAGAGAGAAAAAAAAAAAAAGTATCTTTGATGAAACAATAAAGGTTGTGAATTTTATTAATTCAGAATCCTTGAGTAACTCTACCACTGAGTTCCATCCCCAGCAGCCCCTTCCTCTTAATATCACTATATCGAGGAGTCATTTTCAACACATGAATTTGGAGGGGATGCAAATATTCAAACCATAGCACATGTTCTTATTTGAAGAACCAGCATTTTAGTCTTTGGGCAGTAGACAACTCAGGAAAGGGTATAGTCAGCAGTTCAAATGCAATGAATGAAAAACAGTAGAAAGCAATTTTTAGTATTAAAATGAGCTTAAGATTATAAGAAAACTTTTTGCTTGATTTGAACCTAAATAAATGACATTCTTAACTATTATATTCTATTCTAGGTATCCTAAAGCAGTATATGTTGTTTATACTGGTGATGTTAATGTCAGTGGTCAACAGATACTAGAAGGTGCTTTCAGAAGATTTAACATCAGGTTAACTTGCCCAGTGCAATTTGTTTTCTTAAAGAAACGCTATCTTGTGGAAGATTCACAGTATCCTCACTTTACACTGCTTGGCCAAAGTCTAGGATCCATTTTTCTTGGCTGGGAAGCTCTGATGCAGTGTGTTCCTGATGTTTACATTGATTCAATGGGCTATGCCTTCACTCTCCCTCTGTTTAAGTATATAGGGGGTTGCCGAGTTGGAAGCTATGTTCATTATCCCACTATCAGCACTGACATGCTCTCTGTAGTGAAGAATCAAAATGTTGGATTTAATAATGCAACCTTCATTACCAAGAATCCTTTTCTCAGCAAAGTAAAGCTGATCTACTACTATTTGTTTGCTTTTATTTATGGACTTGTTGGTTCTTGCAGTGATGTAGTCATGGTCAATTCTTCTTGGACACTAAACCATATTCTCTCACTGTGGAAGGTTGGGAATTGCACTAATATTGTTTATCCGCCTTGCGATGTGCAGACATTTCTGGATATTCCCTTACATGAGAAAAAAATGACCCCAGGACATATATTGGTTTCCATTGGCCARTTCAGGCCTGAAAAAAATCATCCGTTGCAAATCAAAGCTTTTGCAAAATTGCTGGATAAGAAACTAGCTGAGTCACCTTCTTCACTTAAACTTGTCCTCATTGGAGGTTGTCGTAACAAAGATGATGAACTTAGAGTAAACCAACTGAGAAGACTGTCTGAGGATTTAGGAGTTCAAGAACATGTGGAATTTAAAATAAACATTCCATTTGATGAGTTAAAGAATTATTTGTCTGGAGCAACAATTGGTCTGCATACCATGTGGAATGAGCATTTTGGAATTGGTAAGTTTGTCTTTTAAACAACTTATTTGGTGCCACTTACTTTGCAGGTAACTGTGTTGAGGTTTTTAGAAGTATGATCTAGTTTAATCTTCTCCAGAACCCTATTTGATAGGTATTATTATTATTCCTGTTTACAGATGAGGAAACCCAGGTGCAGAGGTTTAGAAACTGCTAAATTCAGTCACACAGGAAGTGGTAGGGCCTGGATTCTCACCCAGATAGCTACTGCTCTTTTCTTTCCCCATCTAAACTCACCTACCTACAGACTCCTAGACCCTACCCTAATCCTGTTAACAACCAAATTAGAAACTGGACAGGGCCCTCTGGACAGGTATTTCAATATAGCTGCCTGGTAATTCTGTTGTACATCAAAACCTTAGACCCTCTGTTTCCATATGGATTCTCATAGTAATTCTTTGTGTCTTTTATTGATTCTACACTCATTATTGAAATGGCCTCTCCTCCTTTGCTGCCATATCCCATCCTAAGTATTCCATTTAAATCTCCTTGCCCTTTATTGTTTCTTGTTTATTCTAGCACAGATTGCTACCTCTATGCTGACTTCATGTTAAGCACACTACTTGAGTGTAAGACCAAGTACTGCTTTGTGCCTAATTTGGTTTAGCATATTTTTTTCAAGTGCCTACCTTGTACCTCACAAAACTGTTAAGGGAAAAATAGGACAACATGCAAGTGAAGTTTCTTATACCAAAATCATAACTTAATTTTTTACACATTGTTTTAAATCCCTAGTTAGTAGCACGATACTAAACTGAGAAATTCAGCAGGAACTTGTTGACATAACCTTATTCACAGGGTATGGCTTCCTGTGCTTCCTTTCACTTATAATCTGTGCCAGGTATACTCTGGTGGGTGCTAAGAATATTACCAAAAAACACCTAACACACTCATAGGAGCAGAGAATGGTAGCCAAAAAAAGTACTGTGACACCCAAGCTGGGGCCTGGACAATAATTAGAACTTGTGCAGCCCAAAGGGGAGCATATCCAGCAAAGGCAGCAACACTGCGACAAGAGTGACAGCAGAATCATCACCAGGCACATTCAAGGGACTAAGAGTCCAACCTAGCCCAGTGTGAAGGGGWCCGGGCAGGACAGCAGAGGTAATCTGGGCCAGGTCCAACCATTGGGAAAGGATTGAAGAATATTTTGTGGGGAGGAGGCAGTACTGAGGATGGGACTTAAGGCCTCACATGCTACGTCAGTGCTCTACCACAAGCTCCCCAGCCCAGAATGGAAGCATTTCAATTACCGCATTTAAAAGCTTCTGTTTCTTAAAGCCCACTATGGCTGCAGTGTGGGGAGTGTGGGAAGGATGAGGGCGAGCAGGAAGCTGAGCTGGGCTACTACAGCAACCCAGGCAGCGGGTCTGGCCATCTGAATTTGGTAGGCAAGCCTACTTGAGAGAGATTCTGAGGGAGTACTGGACTGGGTGGTTAGCTAAATATGTTAAATGAGGGAGCAGGCAGACTCAAATGACTTCCTGGGCTTGGGCAACTGTGGGGATGGTGTTGGCTTTCCCTGCAGGGAACCCAGGAGCAGGGCACTTGGTAAGCCAAGTCTCCAGTGAGTGGGGTTTGAGTCAGCTATGGGACATGTAAGTCCTTGTACCCTGTAGGTCATTGTAAATATGGACCTGAAGGCGACGCGAGACCTGATGTGGAAGTRTGGAGTGAGGGGTCGTCCTTATCCAGGTGGTTATTGAAGCCTTGCAGATGTGGGTAAAGTGTGCAAGAAGAGCCTCTCAGCCAAGTGCTGTGAATAGGAGCAGTTAAGGAGTGAGCAGAAGAGGGGCCAGCAAAAAGGAGAATATGAGTTGGGGAAAACAGGCAGAGTGCAGTGCTTTGGAGCCCATGGAAGACAGTGTTTCAGGAAGAAGGGAAAGGGCAACAGAGTCCCATGCTGCCTAGATGCTGGGAAAGGTAAGAAAGTCATTGTGCACCTGGGACAGACTAGTTTCAGGGGAGAAGGGGAAGCAAAAGCCATATTGTGCTGAGTTGAGCATTAGTTAAAGGTGAGCAAGTGGAGTTCATGCAGACCACACTTCAGTTTATCTGTGAAAGAAGGTGAAAGAGATCAATAACTAGGGAAAATGTCTCAAGAAAACTTTGTGTGCCTTCCCTGAGACCCAGGTGCTCATTCCTGACTCTGCTTCCGCCCTTATTTAACACATGCAGCTACCATCCTGTTTTTATGATTTCCAACTAACTTAAATGCTGATAGAGAAGGACCAGGAGAGCCAGATATGATGATGTATGCCTGTAAATCCAGTGAGTGGGGCAGGAGGATTACAAGTTCAAGGCCACCCTCAGCAACTTAGCAAGGTCCTAAACAACTTAATGAGACCCAGTCTCAAAAAATAAAAAAATGTTCTGGGAATGCAGTTCATTGAAAAGTATCCTGGGTTTGGATTTACTCCCCAGTACAAAGAAAAAGATGAAGAGGTGGAAGATCATGGAGGGAAGAAATGAATTGATTAGATTTAGGTCTAAGAGAAAGGGTGAAAGGAAGTTTGCTGCCCTTCAACAACCTATGAGATGCTGAATGCYGCTCTGCAGGGACTTCACAGCTGTAGAAGAAGCAGTTGGAACGACTGAGCTTCTTTCCTGTGCACCTGGGATGATACCAGCTCTGTGCCATCCTTCAGAGGAGTGATCACTTAAATCATTTTCTGAAGGGCTTCTCTCCAAGAATATAGCTAAAAAACAGCTGCCTGAGGTACTTTATACCCTCACCTGTATCATTTGATAAACACTAACCACAACTTCTGTTTAGTTCAAAACTGCTCTTAGACACAGTAGTATCAAATACACCAGAAATTCAGGCATTAACATGAGCACCGGCAGCAGTACGCATCACTGAGGTAGTTTACATTTTTCTATTTTCTGCTAGTAATGCAATTTGAACTCTTAAACTTTTGCTTTTGATATCTTTKCACTCCTTTTTTTTCACTCCTTTTATCTTTCTGATACCTGCTAATATTCTACCATCTTGCTAACATTATTTAGACATTTGTCTAATGCAGTATACTTACTTTTTATAGAATATTTTTATAGACTTCTAACTACTTACCTGTTTTAAGAATGAAGCAGCATTATTGTGAAGCTTTAAGAACTAAAAAATTTTAAATTTTTTTTTCTTTCTTTTTTTTTTTTTTTTGGTACCAGGGATGGAACCCAGGAACACTTAACCACTGAGTCATGTCCCCAGCTCTTTTTGTATTTTATTTAGAGAGAGGGTCTTGCTAAGTTGCTGAGGGCCTTGCTAAGTTGCTGAGGCTGGCTTTGAACTCACAATCCTCCTGGCTCAACCTCCCAAGCCACTAGAATTATAGGTGTGCATAACCGTGTCTGGTTAAATTATTTTATTTTGCACCATGGCAGTTAAATGATCAAATTTATAGACATAYAGACATTTAATTAAATTTGTCATTGAGTCTCTTGACATTTCTGAAGGTTTCTACTCATCATTGTTCTTTTTTTTATTAGTTGTTCAAAACATTACATAGCTCTTGACATATCATATTTCATACATTTGATTCAAGTGGGTTATGAACTCCCATTTTTCCCCCGTATACAGATTGCAGAAGAGCAGGGAGGAAGAGCATGAGAAGAAGATTAACATTAAACAGGGACGAGAGGTGGGAGGGAAAGGGAGAGAGAAGGGAAATTGCATGGAAATGGAAGGAGACCCTCATCATTGTTCTTACAAACACACTCTAAAACTTAAAGGATGGCTGAGTAGCATGGCAGCTACCCAGGAGGCTGAGGCAGGAGGATCATAAGTTCAAGACCAACCTGGGCAACTTGGCAAAACCCCTGTCTTAAAATAAGAAGGACTAGGGATGGACTGGGGTTGTGGCTCAGTGGTAGAGCACTCCTCTGGCATTTTTGAGGCACTGGGTTCAATCCTTAGCACCACATAAAAATAAATAAATAAATAAGAATAAAGGGATTGGGTCCATCTACAACTAAAAAAAAWTTTTWAAAAAAAGGACTGGAGATGTAGCTATGTGGTAGAGTGTTTGCCTAGTATGTGTGAGGTCCTGGGTTCTAAGCTGAGTACTACAAAACCAACAACCAACCTAAAAGAATGTGTGTGTTTTTTTTCCCCTCCTCAGGTGTTGTGGAGTGTATGGCAGCTGGCACAATTATACTCGCACACAATTCAGGGGGCCCAAAGCTTGACATTGTTGTCCCTCATGAAGGAGATATAACTGGATTTCTGGCTGAGAGTGAAGAAGGCTATGCTGAAACTATGGCTCATATTCTTTCCCTGTCTGCTGAAAGGAGACTCCAAATCAGAAAAAATGCTCGTGAATCCATAAGGAGATTTTCTGATCAGGAGTTTGAAGTGACATTCCTATCATCTGTGGAGAAGCTATTTAAATAGTGCCACGTCTGTATAAATTAAAGATATTTTATATAAAATGGTTGGACTAGGGATGTAGCTCAGTGATAGAGCATGGTATGTACAGAYCCTAGTTTCAGTCTCTAGCACCAAAAAATATCATAAATACCTTCATAAGTAAATATTTTTCTAAACTCACTCCCTGTTGTAATAAAGTCAGCCTGAGCAGTGTTCTCAGCAGTGTATATAGACACGGTATTTATTTCAATGAAAAAAGGCAAAATTACCGAAATGGAAAGGTAATCTTATATAGCTTTTTATATTTAATTCTGATGTAATCTATATCTTTTACATTCAATTTTTCAAGTTAGCAAACAGGAAAGAAAAAAATTTAATGCTGTGAATTAAATATAGGGCAAGTGATCTACCAAGGTACATTCCCACATCCCCAAAATTCTGGTACATTTAAATTCTAAGCAAATTATGCATGACCTTTTTAAATGCATCTAGTGATTTTCATAAAAGAAAAAATAGGTGGGCATGGTGGTACATACCTGTAATCCAAGTGACTTGGGAGGCTAAGGCAGGAGAATCCTAAGTTTGAGACCAGCCTCAACAACTTAGCAAAGCCCCAGGCAACTTAGACCCTGTCTCCAAAAAAAGAGGGCTGGGGATGTGGCTCAGTAGTTAAGCATCCGTGGGTCCAATCCCTAGTATCAAAAGAAACTTGAAGCAGGCTTATCTAATCATGTTCCCAAAGTATATATAGTCAAGAGATTCCAGTGTGTGTGGAAGCATGTGGGGATCAAGTTACTACTACCAATATTTTCCATAACTAGGTTTTTGTGAAAGGTGCTTTTTGTTTAGTGCTGTGATAGCATATATCTCTGGGTGTCTCCTCATCTCTCAGCAGTTCCACATCTTAAGCTAAAAGTCAGCCCTGATTCATTCAAGAGAATATAAAGATAAGTTGTTTGTTTTTACATCATGATGGTGTAATGCACAGAGCTGTCGACAGAGTGTCTATGATCAGCATCATGCATTAAAAGTGGCATTTTGAAAACAGGACTGGAGTAGCAGTTGTCATACCTGGGCCAGCTTCATAATGATAAAATGTAAATTCATCATCATTTACAGTGTATGGCCTCCTCCTACTAAAGCTGCACCTTAATCTTTCTGAGTTTCAGATTTTTAATCTATAATCTGGGTTTGTTAATACCTGTCCTCACTACCTTTTAGATTACCTTTTAGAGGTAGTGCCACTGAGAGGGAGTGAAACTTCTTTGAAAATTATAAAAGTTACTTTAAAGGCAAGAACCTATAGTAAATATATTTTATAATCTTGTCTTTTACTAGTGCATTATAATTGTATGTGGATCCTTGGTCTCTACACTGGTAGCTAGGAATTAGTATAAATTTAATTTGACTTCTGTCCTGAATAACTAGCATGGAAAAGCAAATAAGTGTGCAGATATGGCTATAAAGACCTACAACTGTTGGTATTTTCTGCATATGTAATTCCTTCTAGTTCACTGAGTTGACCTTCCCTTTACAGTCTTTTTACATTTATGTTCGAATCATTTGAAAGAGGTATATTATTCCTTTGCAGTCTCAAATATTCATCTATCCACTTATTTTTTACTGGAGTTATGTTGATTCATCTGCAGCCCATCTTTATTGTCAGATTAAAAAGCAATAAAACTGTTCCAGATGCCATGCACCAACAGAACTTTTGTGGTGAAGGTGATTTAGTTTTTACAAAGAATGGAAATTGTAGTTGGGAAATTCTGCAAATTCTTCAGTCCAGCTTTCTCCTATTTTCAACTTCATAAACAAGAACAATTTAAGTCTAAAAAACGTAATAGACTCCTTCAGTGTCACAAAGCTGTTTAATGAAAGCATCAGTAATGTCCCAGTGTTCTGACTTTCAACCTTTCAATGCTTATCTTATAGCTAGTCTTTGAGGTAAGATTTTTGCTATTCCTCAGCCTATCCATCAATACAAAATTATGGAACTAAAGATAAATTGAAATAAACAGAGTATAAGWAGAGGTTGGAGTGAAGGAAAAGAAGATTCTGGAATTCCTTAAACATTTTTAACCTTCTTCAAAATGACTTTTATGAATCACAAATGTAAAAAAAATTATTTGCATATATGTTCATTTTCAGTTTTTCTTATCTGATATAGTATATGTTGGCGTTTTTTTGTTGTTGTTTGTTTTCTGAGTGACTTACTATGAAGTATCCAAGTAGTATGTCTGTCTGGGGAACTTCTGGGTGATATTAATTCTTCTAAGACTTCCCTTCTGAGTAGCCCAAACATGCTGTTTTAAACCCACAGCAATGGGGATTTACATTCCTATTTCCAACTGTGCACTATAGAATATATGTTTCATAGCCTTTGTACCTAATTATGATTTAGATTAATAGATGCAAAATGTATTTGTATCTAAATATAACTTAAAGCAGTGATTTTTCACTCTCTTAGGTATTTTTCCCAATACAGTGCCTTTTATATCTTTCATGTAGTCTCCCAATTTAATTATTATTGTTCCACACGCCAAGAAATTCCTTTTTTTTTTTTTTCTTTTTTGTACTGGGGATTGAACCCAGCACTTTACCACCACTGAGCTACATCCCTAGCCCTGTCACTAAGTTGCTGAGAGTCTTGCTAAGTTGCTGTGCCTGGCCTTGAATTTGCAGTCCTCCAGCCTCAGCCTTCTGAGCTGCTGGAACTACAGGCATGCACCACTGCACCTGGCTAGACTTTGTTTTTAATAAATATTTCAGACATACCAAAAACTGCAGAGCTTCATACACTTGAGGGGTTTTTTTGTTTGGTTAGTGGTTTTGGTGCTGGGGATTTAACCCAAGCCCACACTTTACCACTGAGCTATATACCTAGCCCTCATATACTTTAATAATTTCCAGGGTATTTTATAGGGCAATCTTATAGGCAACATTATGAGATGAAGTCCAGTATGTTTATCATTGCTTTCAGAATATTTGTGTTTAATTATGTAAATGTACCCTTGTTGAGAGCCACACCTGAAGGGGCCCCAGCAAACTTCCAGCTGCCAGCTGATGATTGGCTCACAGCGGCCCCCAGCAAACTTCTAGCTGCCAACTGATTGGCTCCTCTGCAGTAATGCTCATTGGGCTGTTTCCCCCCCTTTCAGACSACGGAGCTGCTCATTGGGGGACTTTTTTCGCTCTGCCCACGCGCCCCAGCCAATCAGCCTCAAGAGCAGGAGGAGTGGGGGAGGTTGAGAGGCTTGTGGGAAGCCGGTGGTGGGAGTTGGGCTCTGAGGGTTTTTCCTGAGGAGCTGTGTGGTGTGGTGTGTATGTTCTAAAAATAAAGTTCATTTCTTTTGACAAGTGGCTCCTGAATTGTGCCCAGCCAGACTGCAGCATACCCTAAACTCCAAGACTGAAATAGTATGTCTGTGCCATGTCAATGAGTATGAAAGAAAAGTTAACTTTTGTTGCAAAACTACAAGCTATATAGGTGTCTAGAAGCTAATTGGTCTCTGTAATTTACCCCTGCTCTCCATTGCTCCTCTGCTAACTCTCTTTTCCCACCTTAGAAAAATAGATTAGCATCAGTTCTAATATCTTAGTGGTCTGTGCTCACATGGACTACTGTAAAAGTTACAAGGCACTTAGAAGAGAGATCACAGGACCTAGGTGCCCTTCAAGAGATGACTGGATAAAGAAAATGTGGTATATATACACACAATGGAGTATTACTCAGCCGTAAAGAAGAATGAAATTATGGCATTTTCATGTAAATGGATGGAACTGGAGACTATCATATTCAGTGAAATACGCCAGTCCCAAAAAAACCAAAGGCCAGATGTTCTCTCTTTTGTGTGGATGCTAAGGCATTGGGTGGGGGTATACAAGTTTATTAGATTAGACATTAGAATGAAAGGATGGGAATAAGAAAAACAGTAGAATGAATTGGACTTAACTTTTCCTGTGTTCATATATGAGTATATGACCAGTGAAACTCTACATCATGTACAACCACAAGAATGGGAAGTTATACTGCATGTATGTATGATATGTCAAAATGCACTCTACTGTCATACATAAAAAGAACAAATTTTCTAAAAAAGAGAAGGGAAGTTGCAGGGTTTATGTACTTATTGGCACCATTTAAAGGATAATTGGTTTGGTGACTATCATACATAGCTAACAAAAGCTGATTTTCCTAATAAAATGTATTCTAAAAACAAGCAGATGCAGGTCTGATCAAACAGTTTCTGTTCAGTAGCTGGAGCCAAGCCTAAAATCAGAGCAAAGTCCATCAACTGCCCCTAAAGAACACAATGTAAGGAATGTGTTTAAATGGTAAGATGAATTAGGGGCTGAAACAGGTTGAAAACCCTTGCCGATAATATGTATTTACCCCAATGAATACTTGCAGTGTATGTATGTATATGTGTGTGTATATATATATATATATGTATATATATACACACACTGATATATGTGTGTATACACACACACACACACACACACACACACTGATATGCTTATTCTTAAACTTTTTTCTTTCTTCTGCCTTTCATTGACTTGGTCTTTGGATTTTTAGGAATCATTTTGCTTCTCATGCTTTCACATTCCATTCAAAATTGGGGTTACATGCAGACTCTAGCAGATTTACTATATCTGAACTAGTCATGTCTTGAAAGTAAATAAACATGTATGGCAACCACTAGCAGAGCTGTAGAATTAATGATGCTCCAATCTCTCAGGACCACTTGTTACCCAGTTTGAAATAAACATAATGTTGAGAACTTTTTAATTTCAGCCTCATGATATACACATACTAAGCACCTCCCTAAACAAGTAGAATGTAACTGTACAAAGTTGAAAGAACAGTCCCTCAAATATCACCAGGAACTAAACACTGGACATATCCCAGGTGAGTGACTCCTGATACTTGCATTCCCCACATTTAGTGAAAAATAGACAAATGCAAATACTAAGCAGATCTTAGAAATAATCTGAAAAACTCTTCCTCATCTTTTCTTTCTTGGTCCAACAACATGCCAACCAATGCACCATTTTAGTTTTAGTATAGAGCAGATATTTCAGATGGAATTCTAAAAATCTAGCCATCTTGTCCATCCTTCAGCAGATATATATCTAGTATTTAAATTAAATATATCTAATTCTAGGAACATGTTTAACACTGGAATTAATATGATACAATTTCCAGTTTCCTGCCTCAAAAAGTTTACAGTTTTAACAAGAAATGTATTAGCAGTTATTTATTCATTCAAGAAACATACTAGGCTAAGAATTTTATACAAAAAAGACCATTGTGAGATATAAAGACCATGCCAAGCACAGTGGCACACACCTGTAATCCCAGTGCTCGGGAGGCTGAAACCAGAGGATCACAAGTTTGAGTCCAGCCTCAATTTAGCAAGACCTGTCTCAAAATTTTTAAAAGGGTTTGGGAATCTAGCTCAGTAGGAGAGCACACACTTGAAGTTTATAACCTATACACTTAAAACTACTAAAAACTCAATAAAAGTTATTTAGTATATAATTAATATAACATGTCTTTTTCCTCTTGTTCGCTGACAGAAGACCAACATAGCAAGAATTACATTAGAATTACGTTAGAATTTAATTCCCTCTGCCACCTCAATTTCCCTTTGCTAGGTAACAACATATTCACAAATTCCAGAGACGAGGACGTGACGTCTTCTAGAGGAGGGCTTTGAGTTGCATTATTCTGCCTAGCACATACATTATCTCAAATATTTCTTAATAGAAATTTTAAAGTATTGGTACCAGTACCATGCTGTTTTTGTTACTATTGCTCTGTAATATAGTTTGAAGTCTGGTATCGCTATACCGCCTGATTCACACTTCCTGCTTCGTATTGCTTTTGCTATTCTGGGTCTTTTATTTTTCCATATGAATTTCATGATTGCTTTATCTATTTCTACAAGAAATGCCATTGGGATTTTATACAAAACTACATATAAGAGGTTGTGAGGGGAATGGAAAATAAACAAGGAGAGAAATGAATTACAGTAGATGGGGTAGAGAGAGAAGATAGGAGGGGAGGGGAGGGGGGATAGTAGGGGATAGGAAAGGTAGCAGAATATAACAGTTACTAATATGGCATTATGCAAAAATGTGGATGTGTAACTGATATGATTCTGCAATCTGTCTTTGGGGTAAAAATGGGAGTTCATAACTCACTTGAAGCCTATGTATGAAATATGATATGTCAGGAGCTTTGTAATGTTTTGAACAACCAATAAAAAAAAGAAATTTTAAAGTAAAGGTATTAATTAATAGAAAGTTCTATTATCTAAATTGAAATAAAAATAAGTGCTTGGGATAACTGGAAAATTCTTAACAAATAAATGAATATTTTTTATTTGTACCCAAACAGATACTACAGTAAATAGATGCTAATTTACTATTTAAGACAAAGGCCATCAGTCCCCAACAGCACAAAAAAGAAAAAAGAAAGAAAAAGTATAATAATTACACTTGTATATTTTGACTGGCTGTTGATGTTCCTTTGTCTTCATCAATAATGCAAATTCAGTCATTAGTTGGACTAGAAACAGCCTCCAAACCTTCATTTAATTCTTCAGATTTCAGCATGCTAATCCTTTCTCTTTCTCCTGGTTTTTCAACATCCTTAAAGGAACTGGAAACCTCTTCCCTTTTTACTTCTTTGGAAGTAGTGAGTTTTTCTAGGGATTCTACTACTTCGTTTCTCAACTCATCTTCAGACTCTTCAAAATTTCTGAAATAATAAACAGTAAAATAAAACAAATCAACATTGTGTTATAAAAGCACTAATATGAAAACTAGTTTCCCAGGGTTGGGGTTGTGGCTCAGCAGTAGAATGCTTGCCTAGCACATGCAAGGCCCTGGGTTCCATCCTCAGCACCACATAAAAAGAAAAATAAAGATTAAGAAAAAAAAAACTAGTTTCCCTTTTCATTGCCTACTCCAAATTGAATAATATGAAAGTTGCATTTCGCTCAGGTAATAAATTACTTATTGTATCAGTTTGGATTTCCTAAGGGTGACAACCAACCAACATTGGGAGAACCAGTCCTCTGGTGGATTTGCATTCAATAACCATTACTGTATCTATTAGTATCCACCACAACTATGATGAAGAGGAGAGGAAGAGAAAGAAACAACACAAAATAAAACTTCTGTACATATTAGTTCCTGGTACACATAGGCCAGTCCCTGACCTTGGGAACTATCACACACTACATTTCATTTAAATACTAATAGCTTAAGGTAGACATTCTTATCAAATTATAGATAAGAAATTGGGGCTTGGGAGAGGTTGAAAAACATGCACGGGGTTTCAGCATCATTTTATGACACTAGGCTAAGAATTTTATATAAAAAGGCCATCATAGGATATAAAGAGCATAGTCGGCATGGTGGCATACACCTATAAACCCAGTGACTAAGAAGGCTGAGGCAGGAGGATCGCAAGTTCAAGGCCAGCCTCAGCACTTAGCAATACCCCCATCCCAAAATAAAGATTTTAAAAGGGCATGGGAATGTAGCTCATTCAGAGGCACCACAGTCACTCACTACATAACAATGTCTCTGTCAATGATGGACTGCATATGCAACAGTGGTCCCACGAGATTAGAGTGGAGCTGAGAAATTCCTTTGGCCTCGGAATCATGTTACATGTCTGTGGTGTTGCTGGTGTATATATTTACTACAAAAGGTGTGACACATATAATACTTAATAATGATGATATAAAACTATATATATATATATCTGATATAATGATATAATAATCTTGTTAATACTTGATACTGACAAGTAACTATGCTACTGGGTTGTGAATTTACTGTACTTTTTATCATATATCATTTAATGTGTTACCCTGTCAGCAGCCTTATATATCTCTTGTTTACTGCATCTCTTGATGGCATCAAGGGGCCAGGTTGAGTAACCTCAAGTGACCTTCACCGACCTTCACCTCAGGGTTGTGTAACTGCACTTCATCATGTTTGCACAAAGATGAAATCRCCCAACAGCACGTATTTCCCAGAGCTGCCCGTCAGTAAGTGACCCATGACTGTAGTCAGCAGAGCCAGGAATTGAAATTGTATGGAAGACKGCAACACCAAGGTTTTTAGAAAGGGAAAGAATAGGAGACCAAGAAAATAACCTTGAAGAACGCTAATATTTCAGCAGCAGGTGAAGGAGACAGAGCTGGTAAGAGCCAAGAATAAGAGTAAGGAAGCCAAGGGGAAGCCAGAGGAGATGAGGGTTGAGAAATGATGTCCCGCCTGGGTGATACGGTAASAGACCACCTCTGGGAGCATATTCCAGAACAGTGCCAGGCAGCAGGGGCCAATGTACAATGGACTGAGAAAGCAAGGGGACAAGAAGGTGGTGACAATGAGCAGGAAAGAAGGGAAGCAGGACTCGTGTGAATACAGAGAAGTTCCAGGGCTGGGAAACTCTGGTGACTCCACCTATAAACCGCACAGTGTCTTGTGAAGTCTGTATCAGGCACTGTCGCAGGATGAGAGCAGGATGGTCAGGAGTGGGCGTGCAAGGATGAGGGTTCACACTAGCTGTGCCACAGGGAAGGACACTGACCAGGCAAGGGATTGTGAGGTATTGCAAAGGACTCCACTGAAACCAGAGACCACAAATTTAACATGAATCCTTAAATAAGGAGGGATCCATAAATTTGACAGCTCCCACTTATCAAGTTATCATTCTCAGGTATGTGGTTTACAAAAGATTTCCCCTTTGTCTTCGTTCCTTTATAATTTAAAGTGTGGGGGCTGGGGTTGTGGCTCAGTGATAGAGCGCTTGCCTAGCACATGCGAGGCCCTGGGTTCGGTCCTCAGCACCACATAAAAGTAAATAAATAAAACAAAGGTATTGTGTCCATGTACAATAAAAAATTTTTTAAAATAATTTAAAGTGTGAAGAATCTAGGTATGGGTTTCTTTTCATCATTACTGCTTGGTAATTGTTTTATTTCCCATATCTGATGATTCATGTGCTCAATGATGATGAAAAGTGAGGCTGGGGTATACTCAGTGGTACAGTACTTGCTTAGGATGTGTAAGGCCCTGGTTCAATCCCCAGCACTGCAGAAACAAAATCATTTAATCAAATAAAAATTGCAAAAAAGTTCACAGTTATCATTGCTTTAAATATTGCTTTTTCGGGGCTGGGGATGTGGCTCAAGCGGTAGTGCGCTCGCCTGGCATGCGTGCRGCCCAGGTTCAATCCTCAGCACCACATACAAACAAAGATGTTGTGTCCGCCAATAACTAAAAAATAAATAAATATTTAAAAATAAATAAATAAATAAATATTGCTTTTTTTCCTCACTCTCTTCTTTGAGAACTCTTTTTTCACATATATTGGACCTTCATGCCTCTTAACATTCTTTCACATTTTTCATAAAATTATAAGTTGTATTTTGTTATAAACTTGCATGTTGACAATGTGTGTGCCGGACTACTACGCAGTGTGCTCTTTGCCTTTGCTTTTCCGCTGAGCTCCACTCACTCCATCATGGAGGTTCATCTCAACTGATGCCTGCAGATCCAGCTCCCTTTAACTGACAGTTACTCCATCTCTGAATGGACCACTGCAGCAGAGCCTGCCATCTATTCCCACTCAAACCTGACCGTACTTGTTGAGGGCCACAGCCCGAGTTGGGATGACRCATGGCATTTTTGCCAGAAGTAGTGGTTGAGAGGTGACGCCAGCAAGCCATTAAGATGATGACTTTTGAGTTCTTGCGGAGTTCCCGTTGAGTTCCAGTTGAGTTCCAGTTGAGCTCTCGCAGGGATTCCTGAAGAGTTCCCATTGGTTGGGGAAGTGCCGGAGGAGGGACTTCCAGTTGGTGGTTCCTGGAGGAGCTGCGTGGCGTTCCCGGGGAGCATGTGTGGAGTGTGCTGGTGGAGTTCAGAAATAAAGTTTGTTCCTCTTGAGTGGCTCGTGATTTGTGCCCAGCCAGACTGTGGCACGTACTGGACATAAGCTGCATTGGATCAAGTCCATCTGATGCCATTGTCAACCTCTTATTCTGTCTACACCTTGACCTACAGCTGGGCCTACAGCTGCCTTGCTGGGCTCCATAGATGGCAGTGATGTGAGGGACAGAAGAAGGACTCTGTAGAGAGACGAACACTAGACTGAGCCTTGCTGCAGAACCCAGCTGTCTTTTCACATGAGGATGCTGTTGTGTGATAGAGAAATGAGCCTCTTGGCTTTAAGGGAATCCTGGCTCACCAGCTAATACAACTACACTGCATTCCCATTCAGAGGGACATTGTGGTCTCCCTGTCATCTGGCAATTCATGTCCTCCTGCGTATCTCCTTGGGCACATGGTATGAGGAGCTGGAGAACGGATAATGTGGAATCGTGAGTGTTCAGTTTCCAATTCATGTCCTGCACTCACCCCCAGGAAAAGCCAGTCTTTCCCAGCACCTTGAAGCACTTTGTGTAGTCACTCTTGCCATATCTGGGTGTTTTGATGTGAATTCCCCAGTTGCTAATGAGGACTGTCTAGCTTCATGTCTTGCCCTGGGCTCTCCTTCAGTGATCATTCATGGACTTTGCATGGCTTTCCACGGGGTGACTTCTTTGTGTGTATTCTTCATTTTATGGACCTATCCTTTGTTGTTTATTTTGGTTGCAACTTCTCTGAGCTGTGTATCATCAGATGTAAGTCTTCTAATGCAGGCTCTTTATTTCTTTTTTATTTTTTTGTTGGTTCTTTTTAGGTGTATATAATGTGGAGTGTGTTTTGACATATTCATGGAGTTTAACTTATTCTAAATAGGATCCCATTCTTGTGGTTGAACATGATGTGGAATTACACTGGTTGTGTATTCATATATGAACACAGGAAAGTTATGTCCAATTCATTCTGTCTTTCTTCTTCCTATCCCCCCTCCCTTCCCTTCATTTGCCTTTGTCTAATCTAGTGAAATTCTATTCTTCCCTCCCCTCCCCCTTATTGTGTGTTAGAGAGAACATTCAGTCTTTGGATTTGGGGAATTGCTTATTTCACTTCAAATGATATTCTCCAGTTCCATCAATTTACCAGCTGATTTTAAGTCCTTTGGGTATATATCAAGGAGTTGGATAAATGGGTCAAATGGTGGTGAGGCTCTTTATTTCTTAAGAGAGAAAAATAACCATTCCTTTCTTTTGTGGTGGCTCAACTGTTTGTCCTATTGATATTTTTCTTCTTCTCTTTAAAAGTATTTATTTTTCCTATATATATGATTCAAGTTTATTTGGTCCTTTTAGTGATCTAATAGTTTTATATCTTATTGCTGTAGAAAACTTTTTTCCTCAGACCTGTCTTCCATTTATTAATTCCTTCATTAACTATATCTATTCATGTATTTGTTTATTTGTTGAATTTTGGGTTTTTGTCTTTTTATGGTGCTGGGGATGGAACCTAGGGTCTTCAGATTGCTAGGCAAGCACTCTATCACAGAGCTATAACTTCCCAGCCCCTGGGGCTTAAATTTTAATTTCTACCTAGAGAATTTTTTCTATTTCAAGAAGTTCTAGTTAGTTAATTATCAAAATTTTTCCTGTGGTTTGAATGTTTGCATCCCCCTAAAATTCAGAACCCAAACCTCCAATGTGATAGTTTTAAGAGATAGGGCCTTTAAGAAGTGATGAGGTCATGAAGGTAAAGCCCCAATGAATGGGATTAGTGCTTTTATAAAAGAGACCTGGGGCAGCTCATTGACCTCCACCATGTGAGGGCACAACTAAAAGGTGTTATCTATGATCCCCAAAGCCAGCCCTGACCAGATATCGAATCGGCTGAATGCCTCATCTTGGATTTACTGACACCTAGGACAGTATGTAAGTATCTGCATTTGTAAGTTACCTGATCCAAGGTATTTTGTTATAGCAGTCCAGACAAGGCAATTTTCCTGTTCTTCATTGAGGGATTGTTTTTTTTTTTTTCTTGTTTTTTTTTGTTGTTGGTAGTGGTGGTGCAGGGGACTGAATCCCAGGTTCTTGTGCATGCTAAGCAGGCACTCTACCACTGAGCTACATCTCCAGCCTCCTAATTATTTTAATTGAATGATTTTAAATGTTTAGTATTAAAATCTTCATAGGATAATTATATTATCTGAATTTTGTATGGTCTTAATCAACTTGTGTTACTATTTTCTCTAGCAGATTCCAAGTTTCTGCTTTGTTGGTTGAGAAAGGGTTTTGTGATACCGCCCCCCAGGCTGGCCTTGAACTGCTGGGTTCAAGGAATCTTCCCACCTCAGCCTCCCAAGTAGCTGGGGCTATAGGCCTGTGCTACTGTGCTAGATTCTATTTTTAAATTTTAAATTGTGAGTTCCTCTTCAGCAGAGCTTTGGTGGAAAAAAAAAATACAATGTTTATAACGCCAGAGTGGTTTTTGTTTTTGTTGTACCAGGGATTGAGCTCAGGGCCTCACACATTCTAGGTAAGTACTCTGCTGCTAAACTACATCCCCAGTCCTTTTTGTTTTTTATTTTGAGACAGGGTTTGGCTAAATTGCTCAGGCTAGTCTCAAACTTGCAATCCTCCTGCCTCAGCTTTCTGAGTACCTGGTCTGTACCACTGTACCCAGCTCTAGAGTGTTTTATATTTACTTCTTTTAGAGATACCAGGAGTATTACTATTCCTTAATGTCAGTTTTAATGTTAGTTTCTCAAGATTTTTTTTTTCCTACCAAGGATTGAACTCAGAACCTCACTCATGCTAGACAGGCATTCTACCACTGAGCTATATTTCCAGCCCCAGTTTTAGTCTCTCAATGAAAATGTCTCCCAACCATCCAAGCATTGTGATTCAAACTCCAAACCCGAGTGAAGTCAAATCCATGGTTGTATGGCCTACTTACGTATCATCATCAGAGCCTGGTTCCAGTTGTTCCTCATCTACTTCAATGCCAGAGGACATTCCCACCTTCCCCTCTTCTTCTTTAGGAAGCCATTGTTTTAATGTTCCTACTGTTAACGAAATGACAGCAAAATTAAAGCAGCTCAGYCTATACACTTGATGAGCAATATACAACAAAAACCCTACAGTTGTATATTGAACCATGAACCTTTAATCATCTCCATTTAAACAGAATAAGAGCCAGGCGCAGTGGCACACACCTGTCATCCCAGTTACTCAGGAGACTGGGCAGAAGGATCACAAGCTCAAGGCCAGCTTGACAACTTAGTGAGACCCTGTCTCAAAAAAAGAGAGAAAAAAAAGAAGAGCTAAGGGGCTGTGTAGATCTCTCTGTCCCCTACCATGACAAGTATATGGAAAGATGTTCCATATCATTTATCATCAGAGAAATTAAAATCAAAACCACAGTGAAATATTACCTCATCTCCATTTGGATGACCCCATTAAAAAGCAGAAATGAACATGTGTCTGTGAGGATGTGGAAATATTAGAACTTTTGTGCACTGTTGGTGGCATTGTAAAATGATGCAGCTGCTATGGGAAACAGTCAAAAGCCTAAAAATAGAACTACCACATGATCCAGCTCTCCTACTTTGGGTGTAATATCATTGGAGCTAAGAGAATCAGACCCCTTCAATATGGTAATTTGCTTTGGTTTTTTTTGGTGGGGGGGGATGCTACTCGTTTGACTTACAGGAAAAACTTGCCCATCCAGGTACAGGAGGAGACTCTGAAATTCCCTTTTATACCTTAAGAGCAGACTATGGCAGGGAACACAAATGTCGTCCTCCCTATCTGAAATCCCACTGAAGTCCCTTTGGTTTTCATAAGACCTCCCACACACACCTTTTTCCCCCTTTTTTCTCTCTAGTTTTCATATATGAAAGAAAACACACAACCCTTGATTTTCTGAGTTTGGCTTGGTTTGCTTAACATAATGTTCTCAAGTTCCATCCATTTTCCTGAAAATTACATAATTTCATTTTTTATGGCTGAATAAAATCTCTATTTTGTTTTATTTTTTGTTTATTTATTTTTGCAGTACTGAGGACTGAACCCAGGGCCTTGCATATGCTAGACAAGCACTCTCCCAGTGAACTGCATCCCCAGCCCGTAAAACCACTATTTTAAAATCTATAATTTAGCTGTAATCCCTGCAGCTCAGGAGGTGAGGCAGGAGGATTGCGAGTTCAAAGYCAACCTCAGCAATTTCATGAGTCCCTAAGCAACTCAGAGAGACCCTGTCTCTAAATAAATTTTTTTTAAAAAAGCTATAATTTATTACATTTAGGTAACTTTCTAGACATTTTACATGCATTATCTCATTTAATATTTAAAACGATTCATTGAAGTTGACATTTCCATAACTCTGATTTTACAAATGAAGAAATGGAAGATAAGACTGGTTATCTTATTGGCAGCAGGAGAGCCAGAAGTTATTCCCATTCTGTCTAAGTACAGTGTCCACTCGTAACAATTATTCAGTACTGCCTGCCAATATACTGCAAACAGGCTGAAGGTAAGCTCAGCGGTGTGTCTCAGTGTGTCTCAGCATTTGCAAGGTCCTGGGTTTGATCCCCCCACACCAACAAGATTCTCTTGCAAGGAGTAAAACCCATGAAAAATAACTTTTATGGTATTATAAAAGTAAATGTATGTAGTTAAAAATTAAGTGCATACCAGGCTCTCCTTCACTGACAGAAAATGAGCTACTATTTCTCTTTCATTCACACTCAATATCCTTTAAAAATTTTTTTAATTTTTTTTAGTTATAGATGGACACAGTGCCTTTATTTACTTATTTATTTTATGTGGTACTGAGAATCAAGCTCAGTGCCTCACATGTGCTAAGCAAGTGCTCTACCACTGACCCACAACCCCAGTACCTCTAAAATTTTACAAAAGGAATTTATACCATCATAGTATAAAAATCATAAAACAGTCAAAGGATACAAGTATAGGTAATGATATTTGTGTATTGATGGAGAAGAAATGGCTTAGTAATAAATCTAAAAAGCAATAAATAATAAGCCTTTTAAGCAGGAAGATCATATAAACCCAGAAGTTTGAAGCCAGTCTGGGCACCATGTAAGACTCCAGATCAAAAAAAAAAAAAAAAAAAAAGAGCAAAATCTTGCCAAAAATTGAAGACAAAACAAAACAAACTACATCCAGAAGAATTTTATTGCCAAAGGATAGTCATGAGTCCCCCTGCAAAACAGTCAGACATAAACTGTCTCTCTCAGGTAAAGCTAAGCAATACTAGATCATCAGCTTCAGAGCTGCTGGCACTTGGCGTCAGCTGTCAGCTGGTTATGTTAAAGAAAATGATGCCACTGTCCTTGGAAGTTCATGTCATTTGTTAATAGTATTTGGGATTCGCTTAGACAAAACAAATTGGCTCCTAAAAAGGATGGATCTCCTCTCAATCTCCTCTCCAGGTTGAAGGAATCGTTATCCACTTTCTGTACCTACAAATCTTTGACAAAATTTCTCAGGGAACTGTTATGTAGTTAAAAATTAAGTGCATACCAGGCTCTCCTTCATTGGCAGAAAATGAGCTGCTTGTAAGAGGTGCTGCTGCCAAAGCATCCATTAAAGTCCCTGGTGCTTCCTGCTGCCACTGCTTCCTATTTTCTGAAGCACCTTCAGTCACAATAACTTGGCCATCTAAAGAGGAAACCATTATTAAAAATAAAAATGCTTTTTATTTGAGTTTTTATGAAGTCACAGAATATTAGAACCTTAGATTAATTTCACCCCTTATTTTTTAAATAAAAAAACTATAGAAAACATAGCTGATGGGTAGAAGAGTCTTTTTAGTGGGGGGTTGTAAACTGTCTTTTTGTTGTGATAAAAATTCTAATCTAGCCGGGCATGGTGGTGCATGCCTATAATCCCAGCAGCTCAGGAGGCTGAGACTAGAGGATCGTGAGTTCAAAGCCAGCCTCAACAATGCTGAGGCACTAAGCAACTCAGTGAGACCCCGTCTCTAAATAAAATGCAAAATAGGGCTGGGGATGTGGCTCATTAGTCGAGTGCCCTTGAGTTCAATCCCTGGTACAAAAAAAAAAAAAAATCTATTTGCTTATTTTAAGTTGCACTTTCAATGTCTTGTTAGATCAGTTGTCTTATCAAATAGTCAATAGTCAATTCACTTACATTTACTTCAGTGGATATACACTCATCCCTTCGTACCCAAGAGGGATTGGTTTTAGGCCCCAAGGTTATAAAAATCTGCAGAGTTCAAGTGCCTTATATAATGGTACAGTATTTGCACAGGACCTATGCAAATCCTCCCATATACTTTAAATCATCTCTAGATGACTTAAAATACCTAATATGATATAAATAGTTGTTATACTTTATTGTTTAGGGAATAATGACAAGAAAAATAGTTTGTATGTGTTCAGTATAGATCAGGATTTTTTCTGAATAGTTTTCTTCTGAGGTTAGTTGAATCTGAGGACATAGAAAGCTAACTATACTTACATATTTCAATTTACAGCACAGTTTAAATTTTAGGTCTCTCTCAGTGCCATGTAATCAAGAGGAACACAGGAAATAAGTAATAAAAATCTTTACTGCCTACGAAGATAACTCCCGGCGGTTGCTGTGAACCTCTCCTAAGTAAAGGCTACATCAGAACCTCAAAAATGAATGCAGGAATTGGGCTGAAAATATCATTAAGTCCAAAACATTTCACACATGTAAGTAGCACATTGTTTACAAAGCAATTATATGTGCATCTCTGCACTGTGAACTCTCTAAATCTCCTAGGAAAAGCTACTCTTTTACTAAACAATTTTATTGGTGAAAAAAATGACCTGCCATAGAATTACAAGGAAATGATTAGAGAGTAAATCAAGTCTACTGCCTTCCTCGGACCTTCTCTCTCTCTTCAAGGATCTTTCCTCCTTTACTGTGCCTGGTTAGGGTGTCCAATTTTCTAGGATAATTATCAGGCAAGTTTCTCTGGGGATGGAGGAGAAACCAAAACAATGTCCTTGCAAAGTGTTTAGTACAAAATCTAAAGGGCTTGTAGTGAGAACTAGAAACTATTCCAACAGGATGAGCATGAGCCACACAGTTGTTTGGGACCCCTGCTCTTCCCTTGCGATCAGTCAACTGGTGCTGATCCAGAGACTCACCTTCAGGCACAGTGGAGCACGTGGAGGTGATATCAGCAGCTGCCATCATTTGTATCAGAGTCTGAGGCACTCTGGTATCCCACTGCCTCCTGTTTTCTGTGGCAGCGACATTCAGAGTGAAAAACTCTGGGTATAAGAAAATAATTCATTAGTTCAAAAGCAACCAAAGTGTGACTAATTGCACCTAACAGTCCTTAGGTAGCTGAGCCAGTATCYATCAGCTGGTATGTGCAAAACCAGAACTGGAAATTACAAACATATTTAAATATTCTTTTGCTTTTATTGTTTTTGCTATTATTATTGGTGTGTGATAATGGGGAGTGAACCCAGGGGTACTCTACCACTGCGCAACATGCCCCACCTTTTTATTTATTTTGAGACAGGGTCTAAGTTGCCAGATTGATCTTGAACTTGTGACCCTCCTGCCTCAGCATCCCAAGTAGATACCTCTCTGCGCTCTTTTATTATTACTGTTTGGCCAATTTAATTAAGTGCTAATAAAATATTAGTGGCACAAATGGACAAATTCATTGAGTCATGTATGAAAACTCTTTAATCAGTTTCAACAGAACACAATCTGTTCCATTTTAATTTAAAAAATAACTTGTATTTTCTTATTACCATGTTTTCACTATAATAAAACTAAAAATCATATAAAAATAAATAAAAATCTGTTGAGAGCCACAGCCGAAGAGGCCCCAGCAAACTTCCAGCTGCCAGCTGATGATTGGCTCACAGCGGCCCCAGCAAACTTCCAGCTGCCAGCTGATGATTGGCTCACAGTGGCCCCAGCAAACTTCTAGCTGCCAACTGACTGGCTCCTCTGCGGTGATGTTCATT